TCTAAAGCCAAAGTTTTTCTTTTCTTTCTATCTGAACATGCTCAAAATACACAGCTGAGTGTTGTTTATACGTTCTGCTTGTCCAGGATGCTAAAATACCTCATTTCAAATGAAAAAATCCAAAAAAGTCCAGATCAAAAAATGTCGGTATTTTCGGTATTCGGTATACCGATACCAGTGCATACCTAGTTTTATGACTGACATCAAGAGAACTTTCTATGGGGATTAGCAGTACTAATTTTAATCCGATGTAATTTCCGAATATATTTTTGGCTTACATGCCGCATTCGCGATATGAGCGTAGCTGAATTGTATTTTGCTTAATTATAGTCGAAGCTCAGACAACAGCCGATTAGAGGTAATTGTTGCTCTATGGCATTTAAGGAGAAGTAATAGCATTGGCGTATCATTACCTGAGTGATTTGTTTGTCTTGGGTGTACTCTTACCTGATCATGATTTTATAAGATCATGCCAAGATTTAGCTATTAGACACCTGAAAACTTATAGGCTTTCACCGCGACATATTTGCTGAGAACTTCTAGTTCGACAATATTTTCAGACGCGGAAACAGTCAGGTGAAATGAGTCAGCTTTTCTATTATTTCATATGAACGGTCCCATCTGGTAGAATGGCACCTCGAAGTGTTCTCGCTTTCGATAGCTGATCATATCTGATGTTACTAAAATGTAAATTAGAATATGAAAATGTTGCATTTGTTACGTCAGCGCCAGAAAAATCCGTCCATTGAAGTTGAGCATATGTAAAATTAACATTTATACAGTTTGACAACGCGAAACTAGCGTCGTTTAACACCGCATAGGCAAAATCAGAATTTTTTAAATCAATCTGTTTCAAGGTAGCATTACTGAGAATTGATCGCGATAGATCAATCGACTGATAATTATTGTAAATATCACTAACGTCAGATCGAGGAAAAACAATTTTTGTCAAATCAACTCCCGTTAAATTTATCGATGCCAACAGGTCTAACTCCCGTAAATACCTAATTAAGTAACCTCTGCGTCGAGGATCCAGCTGACGAAGGGTAGCTGAAGTCATTGTATGAGCAACTTTTGATTGGAATTTACTATTAGCATTCTCATCATCGTCCAAATCCAAATATAACTGACTAATATCACGTACATAGTTTGACAGAATAGTGTCACGTTGCTGTTCGCCAAGTATATGGATATGATTTTGATCCTTTTTATTTTCGTTATCGTTGATTCCAGCCTGATTAACCGAATAGATTATGGTAAGAACGCCGATGACTAATGTGACTGCGATATTTGAGAGTAAACTGAGCCAGTTGAACCATGCCTTACAAATACACCTCTTTGTTCTCTTACTCCTGGAAGAATCACTTGGGTCGTCATTCGAATGATTCGACTTGCATTTGGCATTATTATCAGTCATAATTGCTGTCTATCTTCTAAGAGAAAAATTTAATTCAGCAATAATCAAAAATTTTGTCAGATTTTTGATTTGTAGAAAAATCTGGCACAAAGATGTAGACATCAGATTATTCATAGCTGTAAAACTGAAAGATGTATTCCTATTAAATAAAGTATGAACCTGATTGAAGTTTTACATAGCAGGGATAATCTGGTAGGTAAACATGGAACCCAAAAAATGTGCGTCTTGACTTTATCTATCTTAAGATAGGTTGGTTCCGAAACAGTCGGATTGATTCGTCGTAAAATAAGGGAATCAAAAACTCTTATAATAAGATGAATCAATCCGAGTATCGCAGAACCTACTTGAAGCCGAATGTTACGTGAAAGAGTTAATTAGCAGATAATGCATAGCATTCTCCTTAAAGTGCGCAATAGCTCTGGCGATCTTGCACGAGAATATACAATTTCTCGAAGATTTAGTACGTTTATTTGTTTAGTTGTTGAGCTAGCTAATCGAGTGTTTCAAACTCTAGTAGTTAAATTATTCAAGTGAACTGACAGTGTATATCTGATCGCCTCGGAGCCTCTTAATGGTTAGGACTTCTTGCCTGTCTAGACATACAACGCACGTGTTTGTCTATCGGATTTTGTTCTTCCTAGTCCTGTACAACTACAATTTCGAGTTTAGACTAAAAGTCCTGAATCATTTCACCCGAACTTCATTACCTGTTGACTAAATTCTTTGATGGTAGAGAAAAGTTATATATGTTATGATGAGAGTGCAGATAAATGATGTACATATCTTATAGAGAAATCACTGATTATAAAATAAAATGTTAAATTGAATGCAATAAAAAATCATCAGTTTCAGTCAT